CGAACATCTCATCTCAGTGAATCTTTGGGCTGGTTTGGTCAGCGACTGCTTCGTCATTATTGATGTCATTAGCAAATTATCTCATCTTTTTTAAACAGATTCTTCCAAGCTTACTTCATCCTATTCCACAAAATGTGAGACGTAATATGTGGTTTCAACATGGTGAGGCGCCTTCTCATAACGAAAAATGTTTTCGGAGACATTTTAGTATGCCTTTTAGTCAACAATAGATTGGACGTCGTGAACCAGTTGCTTAGCCTCCACGCTTTCGGGATTTGAGCAGCCTGGATTTCTTCTTAGGCTGTTATCACATATCCATTTATCTCAGATGAATATCTATTCCAGACAATTTTTCTACCTGCTTTACCAATAAAAGAAAGATGCACGACTTTTTCCTTTCCTTCACACAACAACCAATCAGCTATCAAATTTTCCGTCATCAACCAACGTTTGAATTGGAGAACCATTTCCCCATTACATGGTAACCGCAACATGATATGCGGTGATTGGCTGTTCCATATCGTGTGACAAAGAAGCTGCCAGTCAGTAATAATGTTAGTAACGTTATCATTATTCTAAAGAGTTGTTCTTCCGAATGTTTTGAATGTGCAATACGACCTTAAAGGGAGCACTTAAAAACTGATGTATATGAAACACCTGTCGAGTCTAAAATAGATCTGGTAGCAAGAATCATCTGTGCTGCTGTAGATATACAAGCAAATCCAGGTGTTTTTGATCGTGTCTGCCATTCCATGGTTCAGCATTCGTGGCTTGTAAAGGTTGAAACTGAATATTTTTAATGGCTGGAAGCTTTATTTAATAGCCATTAGCCTTGCATCACTACAAGGGCCGGAAGTGGTGGCCATTACATGATGGAAGCGCCTAGTAGGTGGCCACCGTTGCCTCCTATGAAGGGGCGGACAGTTACAACCGTGCCTTCTCCAGAATTCGAACCCAGGCCCATCTTTACGGTCACTAACCACTATACCGGCTGAGCGGTTGGTAACTGAACATCTTTTGTAACATTTTGAAATAGTATTATCTACTACAATAATATGCAATATTTATCAAGAATAAATACTTCTGGAAATCTCTGTCTTGTGTCCCTTCTTTTCTTGTACTTCTGATGTCACTTTTCTATGATATTTTCGTTCATGGGTTGCTGTGCAGTTCTTCGTCCTTTGGTTGTGCCCTGTTGTCTTTCCTTAACGTTTATACCAATATTTAAGGTGTGTCCCGTATTTCAAAGCTGTAAGGGATTTATTTTGAAATAAATATATTCACGCGTTCCTAACTGAATAGTAATTTTTAATAGTAAAGTATGAAATAAAATTCCATGTAAGTTTCAAGTAAATAATTTTAGTACGTAAATAGGTAGAACAATTCTTCGAAGCCAGGCAAACTGACTAGATTGAAGATTTCTGCAATTCATATCATAAGAACTAACAACTCTGCTATTCATTATAAATCATTTATACTATCAAATTCAACAGCATAATTATATACATATCTACTACACAAAATCAAAAAACATAGGTGTCTTTAAAGCAGTTATATGATGTGCTTTCTATCTGGACTGAAATACAACTAAAAATCAGCCACAAGAATAAAAGTTCAAATTCGACTTCCAGTGGTTCGTAAACAGGACCGGATTTACGTATAAGCTTCACAAGCTATAGCTTAAGGCCCCCCACTTTCTTCCCGAAAAAATTAAAATATAGTATAAACAGTATTAAAATATATTATAACAGACTTATAAAGAGCCCCATATCTCAAATAGCTAAGGGTCTAAATCAAGTCTAAATCTGGCTCTGTTCTTAATACTTAGTAACATAGAAATCAACAGCCAAAATATGATCCTTTTCATGTTGGCAAATAAAATAAAATATTTTTACAAAACCTTATATAGGTGGGAATGTTAAGTATCGATTTAAAGCACTATATAGACTTCAATAACCTTCAAGTACATTAATAAATATGCTCTTACCTAGCTGAATTGTCTATCGATTTTCAACTGACAGCAATCGATAAAGAGCTAGTTCCGTACAACAGTAAATGTACGATTCAGTGACAGAAAATTTTTAAGGTAAGAAGTAAATGGAAAAGGGAGCAACAAATATTCAGTAATATTTCAAAAGTTCTTTAAGGTAGAATGAAAAAGTAACTGTACACAAAATGTTAAATTCGTTGTTTAAAAAAAAACGATTAAATAACCATGTTATTTAACATACAGTAAGACCCCGCTTAACGCTGTTTCGTTTAGCACTGTTTCGGTTTAGCGCTCTTTTATTTCAACCCGGGGATTCCACGAAATCGCTCGCAGCATACGGGGATTCCCCGAAATATTATGCAGCGATAGGTTTCAAATACATATCCGAAAGAGTGTACTTGTATTTCTTGTTTGGTGCGGTATTGTACAGACATATTTTGAAGGGGTAAATGTGGAAGATGTCGAAGAAATAATTCAAGAAGCAGCGGCTAGTCTTTTTAATGATGAGCTCAAGGAATTAACTGAACAAGAAGAAAACAAAAATGTTGACAGCAGTGATTCAGAAGAAGAGCAAAAAAGAACTTTCGATGGCGTTTGTAAAAAGGAGTTTGTCTACCATAACTGAAATAATGGATCAATTCATTGAAAATGATCCGAATTTTGACAGGAGCTCAAAAGTAAGGCGTGGTGTTAGAGATGCTCTATCCGTTTATGAAGAACTTTTAAGAGAACAACGCAAAAGAAAAGGCAAACAACATTAGATGCTTTTGTCACAAAAAGGCAGAACACTGAAAACGCGGAAGGCTAACTAAATATGACTGACTTAGAATTTTGTTTTTTTTAAGAATATTCGTTTTGTTATTTATATTTTGGTTTTTATTTTTGCAAGAAATAATAATGTGGTATTAATTTGGGCTTTAAGAAATAAATGTTTGGTTTTATTTTTATTAAAAAAACATACTTTTTAAATTTAACACCTAACCAATTTCCTAGCCATCTTCCCCTAACCCCAATATTTACATGTAAAGATAGCCTCGTTTAGCGCTGTTTCGCATTACGCTCTACTTTGATGGAACGTATCCCCCGCGTTAAGCGGGGTCTTACTGTATTTAACAATTTACTCTAAAGCCATATTAAAGTAACAATTTTAATCTCATCATGAAGCAAATAACTATTATATATGCTACTACTACTAGAACTAGATGCTCATCTCAGAGACAACATGAATAGTTTCAGTTATTCTTGACTATAAGAGTGAAATGGCAGACTAGTTTTTACCGTGGAGGAGAAGGGAAATACACAACACTTAATAAAAAATAGGCTACTTAAATATTATCCCGTTAACCATGAAACTATCAGCAGGCAGCGTGATTTAACGCTAGTTGTGGCGTAACACGTTAGCTAAGGATACACGTGACAACACACTCGTAACATCTCCGCTTTCGTTTGATGTAAACCCCAAGTGATTTTCAATAAGCCACCTTCCGTTTTTATGAACAAGGATGTTGCTGTTATTGCTGTATTTTTCCTTGCATTTTGGAAAAATAATATTAAAGTTTGGGGCCTGCCTTTTACAAAACAGCAAGCAGTGGTTTTTTTTTTAAGTTATGGGATTTTACCATCAACGCATATATATGTTAACGAACATGATATAATCAGCTGAATACGGCTGACAAGACAGTAATGAATTTGAACAATTACCTGCGGGAAGTTTGTACTCATAGCTTTTTAAACAGAACTTCCGATGAAATTGGAGGGCATTCCAAAATTGTAGAAATCCGTGACAGAATCATTTATACGAAGCACAAAAATGAAGCGGGTATAACACTAATTGTTTATTAAATAAAGTGGTAAGCATGATCGTTGCAACTTTGGCAGGATCTTCTCCTACCTTTGATGACTACCAACTTTCACGGTTGACAGGATATTACCTAAGTACTAAAAATCGCTTAAGATCGAGCTGAACGAACCATTTTGAGCCTTCAAGACAAAAATTACTGAAGAACACCTTTTCCTCATTTTTGCCTATGCGTCAATATAAAAGAGTTTCTAATAAAACATATGTTTGTAATATGGTATTAAACAGATGAAATAAAATAGACTTTCATTTGTTGCATCATTCTTAAACTTAAATACGGTGTGAGATACATTCGCTAAAACATGCAGAAGCACAGGATTTGAAATACGTAACTTACAGATTAAAAAAATATATAATAAAAATTTTTCCTAATCCCTACACATTCCGGAGTTGCATAAGTAATGTACAATGACTCTGAATATACAATGTTTGAAACAAAATTTCGAAGCAATAAAAAGTCAGGATCATTCATGATACTTTAAATGATCGTAAAATGAATGAATAAGGTTGAAAATTTTTAATTCTCAAGTCTTCGTTGCATTTTTCTAGTTTAAAATATGGCCTAATAATCTGAGAGATAATCTGAGAGAAATCCTAAATAATCTGAGAGAGAAGGAGAATCTACTTTTTAACACTTTCCTTCTGAGAGAGACATTAGGCTATTTCGAGTTCGGAGTGATGAAAAATTAGCAAACGCTATCGAACCACGGACCTCTGGAATAACGGTCCAGCGTGCAGACCACTACACCACGAAGGCACGCTAGAATGGCGGGAGAAGTACCTTATAACACAATAAATATTTTCTTTCAAAATATGAATAGAAAATTATTTTAAAATCATGAAATTTAACGAATCGAAGACATCCAAATTTAAATGCGTATTTTCTTCAGCAAAAATTTTTCTCAAACATGCTTCAGAAGTAAAGCTTTTAAATCATTTTAGAAAAGTTCTTGTTTTGCTAGAACTTGATTAAATTTTCTGCGTATGTAATAATCTCCTTCTGTTACAGTATAATTTAATAAAGGAAAAAGGCCTTTCCCCATTAATTCCATTAAGGAATCGTTAAGTGCTATCCTGCCATATTAATTCGTGCAAATAATTAATGCAGTGCTTTGCCATTTTCAAAACAGACAATTCTTTTGTGCTGTTCAGAAAGAAGAAATTGTGCTTCCTGTATGGGAAATGGACGGATTATTTGAAAATCTCATCAGTAGCGGACTATGAAGAATACATGAAGACAGAATCTGGCAGCAAGCACAAGCATAATTCAGGTGAGATTTTTTTTAAACTAATAATTATACTATAGAAATAAATACTTTTTATCTCACAACTCACAAGAGGTTTTTAATGATTCCAAATGCTTTTAATGAATTTTTAAATATTTCTTTTACACCTGTTGATAAATTGCACTGCTCCATTGCAATAATATATTACAATCATTACTATTCTGGCCTGAATAGAATTTCGTTATCTCTGAATAGCAACATGAAAAGTAGTAGAACGTATTGATTTAGAAAAGAATAAATGACGACGGTGTAAAACAGAACACTCTTTCGATTTGCTTCGATACGGTTTGAATGTTACAGATGGTATTTTAGATTAGATTATTTTGTTTTTGATATTGCAATAAATTCGTATTAAATCTAGGTTATGTAGATTTTTAAAGATAGAATTACACTGAGCCACTACATGTAGAATTTTGCTCTGACGAATCTTAAATAGAGTTATCGTTTCATTGTTGTCCATTGTTTCGCTATTGTTCATCAATTCTTCATTGTTTCGCTATTGTTCAGTTACGAAAATCTAAGCTTTTGCGTTAAACATTTGTGCTTGATTTAGTTTTGCGTTTGGTTCACATTCTATGTTTAACGTAAAACATAATAATTATATGGCACCTATGATTGATCCACGCCATCTTTTGAAAAACATGTCCTCCGTAACATAGATAAAGGCATAATCTTGTGATTTATTAGACAATACGTTTGTATCTTATTCTAAAAAGTATATTTAAAAAACTGACATAGTTTCATTTAATAAGAAAAGTGCAAGCAAGAATTTTAGATTCACAATTAATTAAAACAAAGAGATCACTTTTGAAAAGTGCTGATGATGATATTTTTCTTAATAAAGTGATTCTGTGGGCAAAGAATTTGTTCGAACCTACGATTAGTGCTGATGATGATATTTTACGTCACGATATCTGCATATTATAAAATTCTGTGGGCAAAGAATTTGTTCGAACCTACGATTAGTGCTGATGATGATATTTTACGTCACGATATCTGCATATTATAAAATTCTGTGGGAAAAGAATTTGTTCGAACCTACGATTAGTGCGGATGATGAATTTTTACGGTCACGATATTCTGCATATTATAAAAATTCTGTGGGAAAAGAATTTGTTCGAACCTACGATTAGTGCTGATGATGATATTTTACGTCACGATATCTGCATATTATAAAATTCTGTGGGAAAAGAATTTGTTCGAACCTACGATTAGTGCTGATGATGATATTTTACGTCACGATATCTGCATATTATAAAATTCTGTGGGAAAAGAATTTGTTCGAACCTACGATTAGTGCTGATGATGATATTTTACGTCACGATATCTGCATATTATAAAATTCTGTGGGAAAAGAATTTGTTTCGATAGTGCTGATGATGATATTTAACGTCACGATACTGCATATTAAAATTCTGTGGGAAAAAATTTGTTCGAACCTCGATTAGTGTGATGATGATATTTTACGTCACGATATCTGCATATTATAAAATTCTGTGCGCAAAGAATTTGTTCGAACCTACGATTAAATGTCACTCTAAATTGACATGTGAAACCAGAACCGTTATTGAGAACTGAAAGTTGTTTTTTCCTAGACGTTTAAATTTTATATGAATCTTATTTTGACACATTTTTATGTGGTCATTAAGTGGTGATACCGATTGTTTTGAGGGAGGTTCAATTGCCTTAAGATGTCAATTTCAATCTTCGCTTTTCTGAAATATAAGCCAAAGGGAACCTGCTCTAGTTTTTAAGATAAGACCAGAAAAGAAGTGATTCCTTGAAATTGCACAATATATATAAACCATGAATAAACATGTAGATGATTAATATTTCGAATCTTCTTCAGGTGCGCAAATCAAGCAATACAGAGAGCATTTTCTGCAATTAGTGTATAAGGAGACTGTAACGCATTGGAAAAAGTAAATCCGAATTTCTTTCTCATAAAAGGATCCATGATACCACACTGAAGAACATGGCAACCATATTATTATCGTTGCTGTTAAAATAACGAAGAATCTGCATATATGTATGTAACTCGCCTAGTGGAAGATCGGCGGTACTTAAAGTTACGAAATTCTGAACACAAGTATTCCTTCCTCGAACATGGGCACCTCGAAGCCAGAATTTCGAATGTTTTAGGCCAAATAGTCTATTGGTCTCGAAACACGATTTTGTATTGTTTCGTTTTGATGCAGTGTTTATTTATTTGTTTATTTCATACTTTGGAAGAATGTAAAGGGTTTTTGATCAACAAACTCAGCGATTTAAAAGCGAACATTGGCAATACTGCTGAAAATAAGGCACTTTTATCTCCAGTGCGTCAGACTGTTGCCAGTTGACAAAATATGAGATAGTTATTCTTTCGATTTTAATCAACATATTCGACGATTTAAAAGCAATATGTTGTCATTGCTTTCGAGAAAATGCTTTTGTCCTTCACGCGTCAACCTGTTACCATTCGACATCTCATTAATTATTTAACAAAGCGTTTAATTATTTAACTTTCAAAATTAGTTTTGTCTGTTATTGATTGACAAACCAAGCTATTTTAAAGCAATAAATGTAGTTATGGTAAAATAACACGTTGAACAAATATTAATTTAGAAGTCAAACAACAAAAATCAGCGTTACATTTGCAAATTTTCACAAAACTAGTTTGGATGGTTTTACCGAACCATCGGTAAAATGGTTGGTTGACCTCTAAAACAATAAATGTAGTTGTTAAAAATGCTTTTTCTACTTTTTAAATCTGATTGATTTAGATAAAAATGCACTTAAATGAGATGTCTCATTAGAAATATTAAATATTTTTTATGAAATCACGCTGGCCGGACACATTAAAAATTATTATACAGGGTGTTTCCAAAGTTCGTTTACAAACTTTACCTTCTGATCTGTCAGACCATGACGAACAAGTTTCGCATAGGAACTTGTGTCTAAAACAGTGACCACCGCCGCTAAAGGCCGATGTTCGTAGGCGTAGACAGCGGGATCATTTCAGGAAGAATGTTGCAGGAGAAGGATGCATGGTTCAGTAAGAACTTTGCAAACTCCAAAAATGAACAATATCCCAGGAATACTCATAAGCTATCGTGTTTCACAAGCCCACTAAAACAAATAACGAGATTGCCGATTCCATATTGACAATAGGAAAATCAAAATAGTCAAATCCCTAAGATACCTGATAATTACAACAGATAATAAACTTAACTTGAGCACTTACAGCAAATTAAGAAGAAAAAAAAAAAAAAAAACCTCCAGTGTAGCTAACAACCTGAAAAAAGTGCAGGAAATCGGAAGGGGAATGAACCCCCAGATACAAAACCTGATGTATAACACTGCTATATGAAGAATAGGACTGCATGGTCCAGCGATATGGGCGTCTCCGATGACGGTGAGAAACTCCAATCAATCCAAAGGCCCTTCCTTTTGAATTATTCTTTCGAACTTAAAGAACAACCTGAAATTCTGCATTATATCAGCTTACCAGCAGCATCCCTCTGTTTTTGGTTGTGGAACAGGAATATGAAAAGACGTCAATTCTTCAGTTAAAAAAAAAAAAAATATTCCAAAATTAAAAATGAGATAGTAACTGGCACCTACTACACTTCACCGACCCATCCATATGAAAAACATCCAGCTAGCAGAACTAATATAATCACGCTAAGCACAAAGCAGAAGAGATACCAAAACATCTTTCCGAACATTTGCACAGATGGTTCTGGTATAAATAACGGAAAAAGATGCGCCATAGAAATCTATCTTAGTATTCATGACACAAAAGACTTTAAATTTCAGCTCGATACAGAGAATAGCGTATTTCAATGGGAAATGTTCGCTATCCTACAGGCAGTCAAAGAAAGCCTACATCAGCATTTCTTAAGGAAATCTATACCGATTGTCTCTCGACAATACAATCGCAAACCCAGATAATAAATCACCTCTAGCTTAGAAAATTCTCAGCAAGTCCTCTAGTGCTCAAGGCCAACATTTCTTTATAATTTGAATTAAAGCCCTTGTTGACTACAAAGGAAACAAAGAGACTTATTTATTAGCCAAGAAGGCAGCCCAGAGAATAAGTTCCATGAAAATTCCCCGGCCATTGTTACAGCTGAAACTAAAACTGCAAAATACAACCAAAGAATCATGGCAATAATTGTGGGACGCTACCAATATAAGAAGAAGTGTTTACAACCTCTTCCCCAAAGCTAACTCTTCTTCGATTCACGTTTCCAGTCAGATCATGTGGTTTATCACGGAGCACGCCTCCTTTCCTACATACTTCTATGCAAAGAATCTTTTTTTCAACATATCCCTCTGCTTGTGGAAAAAGGGGTCACCTAGAATATTATCCTTTTCCTACCTGTTAGCAGTGTCACTTCACAAAAGAAGCCAAATTCAGAAGTGGATTTATTCCCATTTCTAAGACATGAAGTCAAAAACAAACACTTAAGGAACAAAATTGCGAAGGTTATTGATTTTCTAGTTGCCAGAAATCAAGAGTTATGCAACTCAAATTAGCCGAGGAAAAAAAAAAAGTGGTTAGTGACTCTTGTACCGAAGGGCCCGGGCTCGAATATCAGAGAAGGCATGGATGTAAATTGCCTGTCTCTTCATAGGCGCCAACGGTGGCCGCCTGTTACGTGCCTCCATAATAAAATGACCACCGCTTCTGGCCTTAGTAGTGGCCAAAGCCTAAATGGCTAGTGCCCACCATAAAATATCGTGCAACTTGACAGGAAAGCAATAAGCACCGTTAACAACATGAAACAGACATACAGCACTCATAAGCAGTGCAAGGGCTTAATAATATCTCTAAGGGATGCCAAGGTGTCAAGAATAGCCTATCATTCCCCACGCAGTTAAGTGCCTGACCAACTCAAGCAGGTAGCATATTACTTCAGCAATAGTGTATTGTATTCCTGTTATGCCATTGCGTGTATACGATGTTTCATATATAATCCAGGCAGGGGTGTAAATGCCCCTCCTGGCTCAAGTCCGAACATAAGACAGGACAACTGATGACACCGCCAGAGGTGCCAGAGTTTGCAATGTCAATTGCACCAAACAACAGTAGCACCACGGTATCAGAACAGCACCGGGGGCCCCAGGAAGGCGATGTTGACCTACTTACTCAGGGTAAATAATAGATGACCCCTGCACTTATACCTAATCTTATGAGGATCTCGCTAATATGCATTATGTATATGAAGCCGTGGAATGGAAACTCACGAGACGTACTCACATGTACTGCCAAGCCATCTATTGTTTGGACAGTTGCACAATAGATTAAGTGAGGATGGAGGTTTCCAAGTAAGGAGCCACATCGATCGGCAATGTACTGTACGCACACCTGCTGTACTAGGGAAAATTCTGAGTCTATCACGATCGCCTTACATTATTCTATTCTTCTTGTGAGGATACATGAAGTACACGAAATGCCCATAAAACATGACATCGACTTAGTCGCCAGGATCGTAGAAGCAGCGGTACGTGTCCGTGACACACCTGGCAGTTTGAATGTCATGAAATTCAGGCGTTGACGTTCTGAAGTATTCGTTATGGTAGATGGAAGGAATTTTGAACATTTTATGAAGTCAAAATTATTTACTGCATTTGTATCGATAAGTTTTATTTCCTTGTACGGAGTAAAGGGAGGGTATTCCAATAGCAAAAAAATTTGAGGAATCGTATTTCAGTGGAAATATCCATTTTGACCACTCTCGAATCCGTTTAGACGTTTTTTCACGTGACATCTGTAAGTACGGACAGAACAAAGAACTTTTTTCCCAAAATGGATTTAAAGTGAATTCAAAAGGGATTTTTTTCGTGACATCTGTACGTACGTATCTCGCATAAATCTGGCCAAATAGCGAAATCCAATTTTAAATGCGCCGCCCACACCGTATAGTGGTTAGGGAAGCCTGTTCCTATACTAAGGGCCCGGCTTCAAATCTTGGAGAAGGCATGGATGTTTGTAAATGTATAGTGTCTCTGCGGCATGGATTACACGGCAAGCTGAAAGTCCTCTCGAGAAGTTAGTGGTAGGGGAAGAGGAGTGGAAGATCCTCGGACCCGTTCCCCCCCCCAGGGTGCTCTTCATCACAATAGGGCGGAACTAAGCGAAGTCATACTGTCACCTGTATAGTGCTAAAGGCTCTAGCCAACGACAGGCGCAATCTTGATCTCCTTGTCACGAGGAATTTCGTTGGCTTGTTCTGATCTTACTGTAAACGTCACCATAGCAACAACAACATTTTTTTTTAATACGGTCTTCCAGTTCTTATACTTGCTAAAAATTTATACTCGTTATGGTAAAAAAAAAACTACAAGAAGTAATAAAATTAGAAAATTTCAATTATTCTTTTTCTTCTGTAAATAATAACCAAAACTGCGCTAAAATTGTTGCCTAGTACGTCTACCTAGGCCTGTTTCACTTCATTAAGAATCAATTTTTATCTCTTGCAGAAGGCGGTGCCGATGAATCCAATCACGACACGCCCACGAAAAAAATATCTAATAAACTAAACATCTTGACCAGATCCTTCACTGGAGGTGGATCATCAAGAGGTGCAACTTCACCAGAACCACCAGTTTCTCCACACGTAAGATAAACTTCAAGTTACATTTAATAATCGCTTAATATATGTTCTATATTAATGTTTCACACTTTTTATTGCTGTAAAGCACAGAAAACATTAAAACTCACCACTAGTGACTCAAATTAAATAGCTGAGAGAGGTACAGAAGTCAGTTGCAAAATACTGATCCAGTTTCTTTCTCGAACTTAACCCTTTAACGTGTAGAGACAAATCTGTCCCTCAAGTTAAAATGCGCATGTGTACATTGTTTACATGTACACATGTTATAATTGATTAAAGAATACGAATAAATGATATAATCACAAAATAAAAAGAATGCTGAATATATCAATTTAAGGAATGCAACGTTCTACATTTTCTGAATTTTAAAAATTCTAAGCATATTTCGAAATTAGATTCTGAAAGATTAAAAAAATAGAAATACCTGTAAATTTACTTATTTTGAGAAAATTTTAAAAAGTCTAAAAATAAATAAATTCTATTTAACATTTAAATTATTAGATAATATTCCAATAAAATATTTCTGATTAATATAATCCCTTTATTTATATCATAAAATTCTAAACTTTGTTTTGGTTTTTCATAATGAACCTATTAAAAATACGCTTATAACGGATTTTAATGTAAATATCAAAAACAAAAGTGTGATCGCATTTCGAACACATTTCTTTTTCATCAGAAGCATAGGATAAAAATTATGAAAAATATGTTTCATAGTACGTAGCTTTATCTCTCGAAAGGAAGAGAGGAGAAATTATGTAAAAAACGGGGCTTGAAAATATTTTAAATTATAACACAGTTAAATAGTTATCAAATAACGATTATTGTGTATGGGTAGGTAAAAAGAGGAAAAATTTCTTACTCAGTTGAGCAAAAGATGCCGCAATACAAATAGTTTTAAGAAAAGGCAATGAAACGTTGAAAAAGAAATTCCGCACACATAAATGACAAGCGTTTAATTTTTCTGAGAAAGTATTTTTCAATACTTGTCAGTTTTACAGGCAGCCAAGGGCAAAATGTCGCGTGTTTAGGCGCCATAAACCTCCGCCCAAAAAATGCACGTCTAAATAATGTAATTTTGATGTAAATGTTAAATAAAAATCCTTTCTTTATTTCCAAAAATATTAATACCATTATATTTGCAAAATTAATTAATATTTCTATTTAAATAACATTGTACTCAAGACCATTTTTGCAAATTCGGGTAGAGAATAAAATACTTCTTAATAAAAAGAATGAAATAGTCTTATTTTCACTTGATGGTAAATTGAAAAATTGTCATCATTTTGAATCCGTAATGGCTCTTATTACTTGGTTTTGGTTATGAGTTTCGTATTTCGTTTGGCAATAAATGCTGTCAGATTTGGAGAAATCGCTAATTGCTGGTAAAAGCGGTAAGTACCCTATTTTCTAGAATAAACATATGATAAAAGTCTCCGAGAATGTATGTTGGAATTTCATAAAATCTCTCTTATAATAAGCCAAATGGATTGAAATTGCTTTTATTTGACTCTTAAAACTTGAGAGCGGACTCTCGCTAACTAATTGATTTGATGCCGTAATTCGAGAGATGACTCGCGATCACCACTCGGTTTGAAGCGATAATTCGAGCGGTAGCTATGTTTATTTAGGCAGTATCGCTTCATGAGTGTATTTAACAATATATGCGTATGAAGCAACTGCCAGTCTTTAATCAGAAATACGTTTTTAGGTTTATTTTTATATATGCGTCTGCGAAGTTAGTTCGAACTGAACATCCGTGGCAACAGAGATATTACTTTCAAATTTACGGAGCCCAATAGGCATGGAATACGATGGAAAGATTCAGTTCAAGTGAAGATGAGATCAATTTTTCGTTGATGAAGAATGAAATTACTTTAGTGCATAAGACAGACTATTTAACAACAGAAGGAAGGAAAGCTGTGGTGACGTAAGGAGTGTTAGAAGACGAAAAATATGGTTAATAGTTAGCGAATGTGAAAGCGACAGTTATTCCATAGAAAAGGCAGAAAATTCAGAATGGATAACGTGCACAGAATCCTAATATACACCGAAAAGAATACCGTTTGTATTCCCGAAACAGCCGTAGAATCGCAAATATCATCACACATAAAAGAACCGTTAGATTTCTTTAAATTGTGTGTGAGATCATTTTAAGTTAGTTGTAAAAATTTCACAAAATATGAGATTAATAAGGGCATTTTTCTCATAATATTTAATTAAAATCATTATCAGTTCCTCTTAGATAACACATATTTCAAACAAACTGCGTGAAATGTCACAATACGTTCTTGGAGACTTTGTATTTAGTTAACTGAAATTTCTAGTTATATGGAGATTTATAACACATAAGAAACTAAGAATATCAGGTTAAGTTTTAGGGTCTTTTGAATGATCAGTTAAAATTTTTGTATTCCCGTGATTTAATATATATAGCCTCTTGTACAAGTACATATCTGGAAATCACTATCTGAGAACTTTTCGTTTTGAAATTGAAAAATTGTTCTGCTTTTTTTTCAATGATACATCGCTAATAATCTTTAAAGTTTGGTTAAGTTAGATTAATTGATTAAGGCAAAGAAACTGGAGGGCTATATGCTTATGGAAGCGATACATACGTGGAGGACTTTTTAAGGGAAATTGGCTGGTATTCACTTAACACATGGGCAGCACCACGGAAATTTATCATGCAGACAGCCTGTTCGCTGTAATTCGACATCTAGTAGTGTTCAACTACTTTTTGGCCGCTGGTTGGCCGATTACCTTTAAGAAAAGTATTCTTTTTAATTCACCTATTTTTTGTATTACTATTTATTTATTTGAGTTTTAAGAAATGTTTTATAAATTGCAAATATTTCCCATTAGAATTATATTACGTTTGAATAAATGCAAGATTATTTCTTTGTCAGTCGCTAAATTGACCTTGTAAAATTTATGCGTATTATGATTCAGTCACGTTATTGAAAACTCCAAATTTTTTTAAGAGATTTCTATTACAGGACCCACCTGAAGCGCTTGATGACAACAATGGAACAATTCCGAAGAGCGACTCTTCGTCGTCTCTGGACATTCCTAATTCTTCAATCTTGTGGCAGGTCCAGCCTCGACCAGAAGGTTCATGCAAAGTAAGAATTATATTCTCAGATACGCTCGTTAAAATATCTAAGGTCGTTATTTCTAAGGTCACAAATATCTGGAGACTTTAATCTTAAATCCACTTATATACTTCTGTACCAGTGAAGTAATTTTCTCACCTTTGGCTTCCTATTAGTTTTTAACAGTTAACTGTGTATCCTAATATTACGATTTTACTAAACATATTTGATTAAACATCCTAATATTACGATTTACTAAAAATGTTTTTGAGTATACAGACCGAATGGTACCTGTTTCTGATAATTGCAGTCTAATATTTGCCTGTTATAATTTGATCTCTTCCTTCTTTATGTCCTCCAAAAATAGTATTTTAAAGTGAAATATCAAGTATTCTTGAAAACGTATCTTCGGAATACGTGAAGTATTCTAGATCTTTCTGTTAAAAAAATAAATTTTTAAATAAATTAGATATGTATTGCATTCTTGAAACTCTAGTGATTAAGTTTTATTTATAATTATTAATTAAATTAGCTGTCTTGTAACTACAAGGTATATTACTTTAATAGTATTATAACTTCACGAGCTTCACTATGGCTCTAAATGAAATCAACAGCGAATTGAAGAAAATTCTGCCAAGGACAGATTGCAGGTTTAGACCAGACATCCGGAAGTTAGAAGAAGGCGATACAGGTATTTTGCTTTTTGTTGCATTTTGTTTCAACTGTTTTGTTACCTCAGTTATTAAATAATGAAGAATCTGTATGTATGCATCTTCGTATTACGGAAAAACGGCTGCAGTTAGAGCCACCAACTTTTAAACTCTCATCGTTCTCTACCCAAACACGTGCACCTCGAAGCTCGAAATTGTTTTTGATTTATTTCATGTTTTGTACGAATTTAAGGAGCTTATCATTAAAAATTCAGCGATTTAAACGCTTTTTGTTACCACTCTTCAGAGTGTAAAATATATAAATTTAATCAGAACTCGGCGATACAAAAGAAACTAAACACAACTAAAACGCCATACAACTAAAACGCATTATACTTTCTTTGGAATTTAATCAGCAAACTCAGCGGTTTGAAAGCAATGTGTTGCCGCTGACTTTGGCCGAATTAATTTTTTTTTTTTTTTACTTCCCACGCTGCATTATTTTGTCGTTCGGCAAAGCGTAAGATAATATTAAATATTTCTTTCAAATTTACTCTGTTATTAATAAATAAACTAGGCGATTTAAAAGCAATAAACGCAGATTCATTTTAATTCTTATAAAATGCTAGCTGGACTCGAGAAATTATTTTAGCTGGAATCATTAAAATCATTATACAGATTTTTCTTTTTATAATTAGTATCTTCTAATTTTTATAAATATACTTTCTTAATGTATTTGTTTATAAATTAAGTTCTTATGAATTAACATATTACCTCACGCGTGTTTATCATATTACAAATCTGTCTAAACTGTAATTAAGAAATCAAATAAGAAAAAGTAATTTCGTTTTACTACGTAGAAGGTGCAGCGGCAGAGAAAACTCGTCTGGAGGAAAAACAGAGAGAAGCACGAAAACAGAGGAAAAAAAGAAAAGAATCGTGGAATACGAGGTAAGAGCTGCTCTTTTATCACTCCAAAATGAATTCCTTATGCAAAGATTTCAAGTTTTAATCGCCACATGTTCTGTAAAACTAGTAATATATTTTGAATCAGCAGAAATTATACTTTCTGATAGGAAGTGGTGAATTCATAAACATATTTGCCATTTCTAATATTTGTATACTTAATTAAGAACTGAAAATTTTATTTTTAAGTTTAGCATACAAACAGTATAAATTTGCTTAATTTAATAGAGTAGTTTAAAAAATAAAACACTTTTCCATGTTGTTGCAACTCGTGTTATATCAAATTTCAAACGCAACTTTCAGAAGTTCACTTTCAGTGATTGATTTAAATATTTTTTTTTTTCCTGATTTGTACAGACCTGGGCTTCCCAACGGGTTTGATATTGATCCCTGAAGGTCGATGAAATTTACAAGGGAGAGTATTTTTATAAAAGTATCATTAATAAAATTTATAATTAATTGCTTATTAACATAAAGCTGTAATCATGCAGTAAAGAAGAAATCATATAAAATAATATAAGGGTAAAATACTCAAAAATGATTTAATGCAGTTTAAAAATCAATAATATATTTTTAATATATTATTGATATATATATATATATATATATTATGCAATAAGTGCATAAAGCATTTGCAGGAAATCCTCATCAAATTTTCTTGACGGTACTCGTCCATTTTCTTCTTTACCACATCCATTTAACTTGAATTCTGTACCAGTTGTTTATTATTCCGATGCTATTCTTGAAAAGTACAAATTAATTTGTTTCACAGACCGAAGTAAGATGAACAGCAAGGTTATTTTTGCGCTTGTTGCTTATGAAGATAAACAAGAAAGAGACTTCAAAGGGTACTAATGATAAATTCTCCGTTTTCAGGCTGGGCTGAGTTGATTATGTTTAAAATTGCTGTCAAATAGACTCAAAATTCTTGTAGTAGTTTGAGACCAATGCGCGTATTAATATGTAATGGTTCCCTTTCTTTGCTACAATTATTATAGAAAATTAGTGTTTCAGAAAACTTTCTACTGAAATTCAGGTTATTATTAAGACGTTCGTGGACACTGGAAATTTTGGAAATGAGAAGGCTGATGCTCTAGTAAAGCTATCGATGAAACTTCACGTTGATTTAAATCTCCGTGTTCATGTTTCTTACTGGAATCACTTTTATAGAAAAGATGCCATCTGTATTTGGAATAGAGAATATCTAGCCTTACCAAAAGAATAATGGACCAAAAGGTTTTTTTCCTACAGTTTTTCACAGAATGAAAGTTTATCCGTTTTCGACGGATTTTAAAGTAACTCAATTTTCGACTGTACTTGGCAGTTTTAAACGCTACTTAAAGCGATCTGGTCTTGCTTCAAGTGCTTTGTGCAGCCGCAGTAGCGGCGATGTAGATGTAAAGCATATTCTTCTTGAATGCATTCATCATGTGCAGAGAGAAAGTTACTACAGGTAACTAACTAACTATGAAGCTCTTGTCTGTATCTTGGCCACCAATTTTTTTTTTTGGACTTATTTGGACTAAAAAGACTATTTCTGTTTTTTGGAATTTCCTTTTCAAATGTAGACTATTGAGTGCTCTTTATTTTACTACTTTTTATGTTTTCGTTTAGTTATTTTTTTAATTTTTTCCCCATTTGCATGCTATTGTACATTTGTTTATTTTTTAATGCTAACTTACTTGCGTAAGCCTCTTGGTATATTTTGTGTAACACGAGGTGAAATTAGAGTTCATAAAAAATGTATTACTCTGTAGAATTCAGTTTTTATCAGATTGAATATTTCAGGATTGCTGGTTGTGTGTTTGTGATTTAAATTAGTAGTTGCGGTCGTGCGAAGAGAATTTAACAAAAAAATCTATACAACATCAACAAAAATTTCGGGTAAAGTGCAGAATCGCCCACTTATTTGTTTGGAGCTTTTTACAAGAGTAAGAAGAATTGGATTTTTGTCAATTTTCTTTAACTTTTTAAGTTAAAAATCGGTCGATGTGTACATGGATAAAGTCAAGGGAGTGCGCAATGTCATTTTTGTGTTGTGAAATTTTGGGATTTTTTTTAAGTGATAATTGGTCGATGTGTACATGGAAACAGAGTTTGTGCAGTTCTTAAAAACGCGCCAAGCAGTGGACGATTCTGCACTTTCCCCAATATTTTCACTGCTGCATAAAAAGGATTAATGACAGGAATAAAATCAATTTTCTTTCATGACAGATATCCTTATATACACAGAAACAAAAAAGGTATTTCGGGAAAGTTAAATTATTTCAGAAGTTATTGAAATTTAATTATCTGATAAATACAAACTTCTGACAACCTTTTATATTAGTGTGTAAGTGTAATGTAGATATCTAAATTCATAAGGATTGCACGTATTCTAATTGATATTTTTAATATGATTTATATCTGTAAATTTTATTTCAGTTATGAGATGCATACTTGAATAACACCAGATGTTTGAATAATTTGTATTTTTTAAGGTGGTTCTACCAGAGCAAAGTACCCCATATAAAGAGTGAAATCTGGCTTTTCAACAACAAATACTGGTCTCGTGACTATGCCGACTGCCCAGATATATTTTAAAGACGAAGGAAGTGAAATCAAAACTTGGATCGTTAAATAATGCGAAGAAGGAATTTGGTTTCATTTTTACTAGACTAGATCGACTAATACCTTTAGTAATCTATTATCCAAAGAATAGTGTATTAAGAAAGGGAAATGGCGTATGACTTATTAGAGCAAAAGTATTTATTGTCTTTAGCTCTTCAGCTATTGCTGGATTCTAAACGGTGCTGAAATTGCTAAAACAAAGTCGAGAAAGTCCTAAAGCTCAATTTCGTAGCTGCTATCAGATTCTTAAACAGGGATATAATTAAGTGAACAGCAATTAAACAGTTCATATTTTAAACTTTAAGAAAATTCTTTAACAAGTAATCAAGATATTAAATAGCAAAAATGAATAAATTTTTTTAAATATATCCTACTAATCAAACAAAATATTTTTCCTTTTTCTGTTTTATACATGGACATAATAATTAAAAAAGAAGAAACTGTTAAAAACTCTAATAGCGGCATTAGGAATGCCTTATCGTTGCGCTAAAAAAATCGTATACACAGAAAATTCTATAATAATGCTAACTGTCTCGTGGCGATCACCTTCCGTAGACGATTATCTCTGAAACTAACTAGCATTTCTGAGGCATAGAGCATTAATTTTCTAAAGCAACAACCTCCAAAAAAATTTAAATCATCTAAAACTGTGGGTGGTCATCTTGCAGAAGGTTTATTATATGTCCTTCGGATGTCCCATAAGTCCATCATCATAGAGAATTTTATAGAATGTATTCAAAATGGTCTCCTTTACGTACAAGATTCAGATTCAACAAATTCTGCCATTCCAATAACATGTTCGGCAATGATAAGAAAAATCTGATGATAAACATGACTGTTTCGTTTTCTGAAGGTCAGCAGACAAACAAGGTTAGACTGTTTCCAACGCTCGAGGTCAGTGGCGTCACTTGATGTACAGAAATGGAATAAACGTAGAGAAACACAAAAAGGAGTCGGTAATAGTTGGTTCTGGGCATACTGACAGTACAGTAATCTTGCTTTCTTCTAGATGCTGAAAACTAATAATAATCTCAATTATTATCAACGTAAGTTAAAACATCCAACTGTTCTACTGACAAAGTTGAATCTTGTTAGAAATCAATCAGCATTTTCTCATCATCTTATCCAGAAATTGAAATTTAACTTATGAACGTTCACAAAATTTTTCGTGAGAGTTCAAAGACTGGAGACAAATAAAAATATTTTCTTATTTAATTATTTAAATGAGGGTTCACAAGTAGATTATAGAATATAAAAACACGTATGAACATATATTCGGGACCGGCGCCAGAGCTGGTGCAAACGGTGCAATTGCACAGGGAGGCAGAATTTAGTTACGGCAAAACTGAATCTAGAAATCGCACGGTTTGTACCGAACAGCGAAAAGCCTACAGCTACTCAAACCTAGTACCGGCCCAGTATATACTATCCATTCATCATCGATACAAAAAAAAAAAAAATACTTTTATCGTATTCTGGGGGAAGTAATTGCCCCTCTGCGGACACCCATATAAGGAATCCATGTATATAAACAATTTCATAACATCTATACCATTCCAGCCAAGCTATTTCTTTAAGTGCAAGTTAAGTTCTTGTGAAAATAACTTAGTTATATTATTAGATGTAAAGCTTATGCAGTGTATTAATTTTAAAGAATGCTCAATAGTAATACTTCATAAAAATGCAATATATAAAAAGCCATTAAGATTGCTATTCAGTATTAGAGTGATATGAGGAATAAAATTCACATTTTTTCGGGACCAAAATCAATTATTCCTTTTTATATGTGAATCTCAAAATCTAATACTGGATGAATCTGTATTGCCATTTCTTTGATGAAACTGTATGTTTCTGAAATTCAGATGCAAAGTTTATAGAATTCAAGTTGCATTAGCGTAACAACTGAAATTTCAAAGTATTTTTAATTTGCATATGTAATATAAATTATGGATAAAAAAAACGCTGAATTTTTCTTTTTTAATATATATTTCAGGTAATTTAACTATGTTGCTTTCAGAATTTGAAAATGAATGCAAGTTTATGTAAATATAGATGAGGGAAATATGTTCTGTTTTTCTAAGAACGTTCTACGTTGCTGTTTTATACCTTTATCAATTTCATTCACCATGAAGGAAAACACATAATCATTACTCTCTAGTTTCAATTTTGAAAGAAAAAATTCTGATAAGAAACATTGTTACAATTTGCAAAAAAACAGACTACTTGTTGTTTGGGAACATATTAAAAATAAATTAAATTCAAAATTTAATAAGGAATGTAACATTTATGAACAACGATGATTAATTCCTTTAATTATTAAAAAAACTTTTAATTTTCTTTCTATACTAATATATTTATGCTAAATAAATAATTTTTATGAAGTATATGAAATAAACTTAGGAATTATATTTATTCGAAATTCGAACCAGTATTATATTTATTCGAAAGTACTTTTGCATAATCAGTATGTAATTATGCTTCACTACATTTTTTATCTCCCATTTGGTATACTGTTGATATTTCATCATGAAGAAATCTTTATTTATCTTTCTTTATCCATGCTCTTTGCACCTCTGTGCCCACCAGCGGCCGAGCGGTAAAGTCGCTGAACACTGGTAGTTCGGTCCGAGGTTCGAATCCCGCGAACGGGCTGGCTGCATGGGCGTTTTCGTGGTTTTCCCCATGTGTAACGTGTATACGAGCCAGTTTCCCTTAGAAAGTCCTCCACGAAAGGCATCCCTCCCCTTAGGCAGATAGCCCTCGAGGCTTTGCCATAATCACACATACATACACCATACATACTCTTTGCACCTCTAAAACTTCTTGCAGATATTAAAATCTGAAAATGTAAAGAGCCATGTGTTTTGGAAAGCATTGATGAAAGTAGAAGTACGTTTATTCTGTTGTAGTTGATTAGGCATTAGATTATCTTGAGAATAAAAGTTTAATCTGGTGCATGAAAGCAGAAATGAATAGAAGGGATTAATAAAATACAACCCTCAAAATATAAAAAGTCCTGTTAATCTGGGAATATTAAAGTGTGACTTGAACTAATAAAATTTTAATAGCGCATTTCAATGAAATGTAACATCTCTAATATAAAACTGGCGAAGGAATAAGATCAATCTCTCTTAAACGTATGCTTTGTAATTAAAAGAAAAAATTCAAGCTTATATAATTTAATTTTTCAATGTACTTCCAAAGAATTAAAACAGCTTATTAAATACTTTACAGAAAAGCTGTTGAATAATGATTGTATTTCAACGAAAAGTCAGAACTTATAAATATTGGCATGGAATATTAATCAAAAGTTTAAGTACTGCTTCCATTAAATACATATTGGTTGTATAAGTATGTATAAATGTGACTGCCCTTTTTTGATACATAAAAGACATTTGCGTTTTCAAAATAAGAAAGATATTTATTCAAAGTATTTTCACCAGATGCTACAACATTCACTTATCTGTCAGGAATAAAACGATTCCGTAGGCGAAGAAGTTTGGTTATTTTTGGTTATTTTGAGACAATCTAGTCATCAATCGAATTCTTGAAATCCTTTTAACAATTAAAGCACTCTCCAAAAAGGCCGCTCCGTATAGGTTGAAATAAATGGTGATTTAAAGAACCACTATCTGGTGCATACGACGAATAAGTTATATATCTCAGCGAAGAACTTCTAGAGTTCCTTGACCGGTCTTGCATACAGTGGGCGAATTTTGAAATCGTTATAAGAACTGAAGTGCTCCGAAATTAGGCCGCTCTGCAACAATTGAAACAAATAATGATCTGAACAAGCAATATCTGGAGGATATGGGGGATTGGGCTACACATCTCAAGGAAGTGCTTCTACAGTTCCTTGACTTTGTGGGCAAGCATTGTCATGTTGAAAATTAGCCATAAAAGATATTTTTTGCTTAGTTCAAATTCAATAAACGTTATTTGTAACTTTCTGATTATCTGTTTGTCTGTCTCGATTGGAACAAATGAAATCCTTTTCCTGGTATACCACACTTTTTTTTCATGTGTATCAAAATCTTTATTTTTAAATCTTCGAAACTACTCTGTGCAAGTTGTATTCGATGAAACACGTTTGTTCACCGTAAAATCCCAGCAGCACACGTTATGTATTTCTGCGGCAGTTTTCTTCACAGTAAAACGTCTTGCAAGTGCCATATTTTTTTACATAAAACTGAACAGTTTTAATGAGATAAAAAAAATATTGTTTTACACTTTAAACGAATGTCATATATTGATGAATAAAGGTTGCTGGCAAGTTTATCAAATACAAGTATACCAGATTCAGTTGAATGCAAGTACTATAAACATCATCCTAAGAAAAAGGCGGGATCGTATTTATACACCCAATATTTAAAGAATGAATATGAATTTAAACATATGATAATTGTAATAATCAATGTATGAAAAGAGTGTGATAATCCACTTTTGAAGATTTAATGTTCTGGTCTATGGTACGAAATTAAAAACATAGTAGTACCATAATTAACTTTTAAATTATTTCCATAATAATGAATGTAAAAATTATACCTTATTAAAAATATACCTACGAGGTACCCATTTTCTTGGAATGTTAATACTGACCAAAAGAATAATCTCGAAACAGTTCCATATAGTGTAAATTCTTATTCGTTTTCAGTTTTTCAATTTCCAAACGATCAGAAGCTTTGAGAACGATAACGTCTTTCGCATATTTAAACAAACACTTTGTTCTTTTAAAATAAAATTTCATGTTTCAATGACAACACATGCAATTTGTAAGCGACGTAAGTATTAAGATTACTGTAGTTCATTTATGAAAACGAGTTTAACTTAAACGAGTTTAATTCAAATACATGTAAGGGTATTATTACATTCCTTGTCGCATTCATGCTTTACAAATGTTTCCAGTTACATACTGTAAATGCCACATAACTTTAAAACGGGAAAAATAGTTCTCTTCTTTATAAACGAATGCTTTATATAATATTAATCCTTTGATAGAAGATGAGAACTACTTGAAAAGACAAAAAGGAAATAGCAATGGCAGTGAATTTCACCTACCTGTGTCTTCACAACAATTTCCAGCATTTAAAGTCAAACGCCATGCCATTTCTTTCTACTTTTTATTTGGTAAATCTGCTTTTGCTTTTTGTTTTCTCTTTGGAATTTTAATAAAAATAAAATTGAAAATATATATTATATATATATATATATTCTATATGCCAAAATTGTGCAAATGTTATTCAAAGAGAAAAAATATTCTTAAGGTTTTATAAATGATGCTAAAAGAAATTATTTTTTATATGGCTTGTGTACAAACTTACAAACGTCCACTCATTGCTATTCTTAAGGTTATCTTGAACACTTATCTTTCAGAGTATTTAGTTATGTAGCTGGAAAGCAAGCATACAAGGTGTAACTGAATTGTTATAGCAACTAGTGTATGTTAATTGTGTAGTAACCCATCTTCAGGAATGCTTTAGCGCCAGAAGAACAAAGAATATATTAATTTAGAAGGCTGTCAGTACCATACTAAGATATTATGAAGCTTATCAGGCTTAAGGATGAAGGAAACTAATATACACAATATGCTCCAATGGTTCTCCAAGATGTTAGCATTCATATTGTTCGTCCTCAAAATATATTTACTTAAGCATGATTTTTATCGATTGATTGGATCATATAGATTAAAGCAAGGCATGTGAGGGCTACTGGCCTTAGGGAAGGAACGCCTTCGAGAGGAGTTTTTTAAGAATTTGATTTGGTTTGGTTTATTTGATTATGGCAAAGTACTTTTGGCTTATCTGCCTAAGGGAACACATGCCTTTGTGAAGGGCATTCTAGTAGAAACTGCTTTTTATCCACGTTAGGCATGAGGAAAAACACGAAACCACCCTTACATCCACCCCATTTGTAGTAATTTGAACTCGGGTCGAATTACAAGTATTGAGTGGTCTTATACATACCATTCGTATACCAAACTTTTAGGGTAAAATGGCTCATATTCACGTTACACATGGGAAAAACCACGAAAACATTCATGCAGCAAGTTTTTTTACCGGCATTTGAATCGGGGGCTCGAACTACCAGGGTTCAGTGATTTCGGGACCCGTCATAAAAATCTACGCATTGCTCAGTGGTCACATGGATCCAGCACATTAGTGGCTGACTTTAATCATTTGAACTGCATTCCACAAATAATTCAGGATATTTTTAGATTTTTCGATCTGTATATCAATTTAGTATAGTAGGCGCTGCTTAATATGATTACGTTTGTCCATGAATACTTTGATAACATTATGCGATGATGAAAATATGCGTCAGAATATCAATAGAATTGTAATTAGTTTAATACAAATGCAACTAAGGTATCCTTTACCTCAGCATTTGTAGGAAATTCAATAATTTCAACATTTTCTTCTTCAGAAAGTTTATCACATGATATTAGTGAATTAGTTTCCGAAAATGTCTGCAGATATCTTTTTCTGTCGCTGATGCTTCAGCTTGAATTTTTTCAGATATTTTGGTGCGAAAAAGTAAGTTGGCTAAAAATAATTCCACTTTGTTATTCGCTAATTCTGATTAATCCATTCGATCGTCTTAAAACTTAGCGAAGAGGCTTCTCTGTACGTGGTGTAGTCTTAAATCACAACTAAACTGCTTAAAGACTTAATATCTTACTTGGCGACACGTCGCTACCATATTGCAATTTCTATATACTATTTCGACCTTATTTGGTGATTTTTATCTTTAAAGTGGCAATTTTACATCGGTTTAAAAAAAATTGATTCTACAATATTTTGTTAATACTAATCAAATTTTTCCATGTTTTCCTATACAAGTGGGAGGGATTTCGCCAGTTCGATAACATATCCTGAAGATAATATTAACTGCGATCATATTAAGCGGCGTCAACTGTAATATTCATTTGCAATTTTGAAATTTTAGTACACTTTTTATCTGGGAAATTTTCAGTCCAAAAGGGGCTACTAGTCTCGAAAAAGGAATTTGCATCGAATCACTATAAATGAGTTCTTTCATTTTTCATTCGAATCTGTTGCTATTCTGCAGAAGGAAAGATACTAAGTTATTTGAAAGCAACAGACTCATTTCTTAAGAATAGTTGTTGCTTACTTTTGAATCGGGCTGATTTAAATAGTAAAAATGCATTTAATTCGTAATCCATCCAACTAAAAGTATTCAGCATTTTCATAAAATGGCATTATACATTTTTTATTATTTGTTTCATATTTTGTAAACCTTTAATGAATTTTTGATTGACAAACTCATCGATTTGAAAGCAAGTAGTTGCAACACGGCACAGGATAAAACATTATCTCCAGCGCAAGACTGTTTGTAGGAAATTCTTAAAGATGTGCTGTTTTTAAATATTTTGTAAATTTGCTATTGAAATGTATTTTATCTGGCGTAAGTGCGAAGAACGTGATAAATAAAGTTAACACGCAAAACGTAATTATTATAAAGGGGAAAAAGTGTTTTTTAAACCATCTTATTGATAAAGTTGAACATTGATATGATAAACTGAAAAAACACTGGAAAAAAAAATAGAAAAATGTATGCAACACTAATCACTGCATCGGAAATTCTACACATATTTTACTATGCTGTTTTCAAAATTTTTGAGATTTTGCTGTTGAATTTTGTGTATGGCGAACGACGCTTAGTAATAAAGCTACGAAGATTAAAGAAAAGGGGGTTAGCAGGAATGAGTGCAATAGCAGACAAGTGGACTGCGAATTCAACGAGAGCGTAAAAAATCTTAACAAACCCTTTTGGAAGATCGTTAAAATCTGAAACCCTTCAGATTTATTATGACTGTTGTTGCGTTATACGGGTTCGTGGATTTGGAGTGATTGATGGCAACACTTGATGAAAAATCAAAACACAGTTTATTAGCCAGTAGTACTTAGGACAGTTCCAAAAACACATATTAAAGTCGTCGAAAAACTACGGCAAATACGCTGAACAATCAGTAACAAGCCTTCAGGCTATAACGTTAAAGACAACTTCACGGCAAAGCACTAAATACAGCTCCCGACTCGGTCGATTGCTCTCGGAGCTCAACACACTCAAGATACTCTTCACGATACACTACTACTCCATGTACAGGCAGGGTTTATATAGCTTTTTTGACCTGCCTTCGAGCATTCTGAGGTAAACCGGTAAGAATTCCCTCTAGAATGTTCTCGCTCCGTCTATGGCATATCGCCAATTTTGTCGCCAAAGGGGCGATTTCGCGCCACATCTGGCCAGACTGTTTTTATTGCAATTTTCTGGAAACCCTAAACCCGCTTAGCGGTGAAGCTATCTTACCGCGGCTGGGCATAGCGGTGAAGCTATCTTACCACGGCTGGGTATTTCGTAAGATTATTATTATTTTTTTATTTTTTTGTTGTTGTTGTGGGGGGGGAGAGGGAATGGCATGGACATCCAATTAAAAATGACTGCTTTTTAACTGAGAATAATCTTCATTTAGAGGTACTGTGGAATTAGAAATTACTGAATGCTCATAAAGAAAAGCAATCAATTAAGAGTATATTACCCTCACGATTAATTATAAAAGTTCAGTAATATATTTAAGACTGCACATCCTTGGCTTAGTTTGATAATGACAGCTTTCTAATTTTAAACATGACTTATTCCTACTCAGTATAGAACGCGTGTAAAAATCAATGCTTTTAAGATATTGATTTTGATTCACAATCGTGTCCGAACATAAAACATATCATTCTATGTCTGTCTGTATAAAAGATCGTATATATTATATCCTAGTAGTTATTACTTTTAATTTATTCACACATCACTCTTTCGAGAAGGAAGTTACATTCCGTAATCAGAAATCTCCAGCCATCTTTAGAAATGTGTTCCAACACAGAGTGGATGTTTGTAAGTTTTAATGGAAATAATGTATTTCAAAAGAAAGAAAGCCGT